AATATATATATATATATATATATATATATATATATATATATATATATATATATATATATATTTGGGGGGCGGGGGGAGGGCCGGGTGCAGAAAAAGAAAGGAGGAAAGATTTGGGTTGGGGTTCGTGACTAAGGAATTTAACATGAGACAGGGCAGCTTGGTTACAAAGGGAAAGTGACAGCACAGAATTGTTGCCAAATATAATCCCGTTGTCCAGGGTCACTTACCGTTCAGAATTTTTGTGGATATGAATGTCCCTCGATGTTGCCAGCACCTCTGGAATGGGCCACAGCTTCCAGTGGGTTCTGATAGTGTGTATTTGAAAGTGGGGGGAGGTAGATTTTGCCCCTTTCTTCTCTCGCTCCTCCAAAGCCAGCACGCACTCCTGGGTGGCTAGTTCTTCCTTAGACATAGGAGAAGCTGCTTGTAAACGACATTATTATTTTTGGCAGCTGAAGTCATTTTTGCAGTGTTTCTCAGCAGATCGGAGGTTGATTACATCCTGTTCAAAGATCCCTGGGTTTCTTTCACAACCATGGGGTCTTACGCAAGCTGAAATTGCTGAAACCAGCTGTAGGCACTGGACTTTCAGTACCTTTCACATTTTCTGGCTTTCTTGTTTTGTTCATGACTGAACACTTGGGAAGTTGAGGAGAAAATTTTGCAGCAGTTATCATAGTTCTGTTGTCAGGGATGTTTTGGCAATAGCAGATTGTGGCAGAATAACAAGCTGCATGGCTCAGGGATCTGAAGAAGTATGAATAGGAAGGCAAGAACAATACTGGTATCTATCTGCCTCGCCTCTGTTTTCTGCAATACTGGTTAAGCTAGCCACATCATATCAATTACACTTGAAATGCTACTCCAGTTCATCACCATATTGTAATAATTCGATAATTAAAGCAGATCTTTTAAAATTGTAAGCAAGATCTGAGAACGCCTGCAAATACAAAAACCAAGGGGAAAATATCACAAGTCATACCTATGAAATGTGTGTGTGTTTTACACAAGATAATGGCATTTAAATCCAAGATTTCTCTTGTTGAGAATACTGTGTCTATATTTCAAGGAGTATTTGAACCAACTATTCATTTAACTAAAAGTATTCAATTTTATGCTAGAGCATGAGTGGGGAAAAAGAAAGAAAAATTGAATGTGATTTTTCCTTCCATGATGACAAAACGTGACATGGAAAATGATGAATAAACAACTGTAAGAAAATAATAAAATGTTTGTAATACTGACCAACAAAATGTTTATTGGGTAAATTAGATAGCCGGGAAAGGCAATTCACTTAAGTGATATACATGAAATGACTTTAGTTATGTGGTAGTTTCCTTCAAGTTGCAATGTGCCATTATACCAAAAAAGTGGCAGGAAAAAAAAACACATGGTTCTATTTTCATCATAATAATTATTACTAAAATAATAAAGTATGGATGTTTTTATCAAAATATTCCTTTTCCTTTCTAGTCTATTTATGCTAACAACACATTACATTAATAACACATTTGCACTTAATCTTTTCACATCTCTAAAATAGGCTATTTTACTTTATTTAAAAATACTAATTCTGTATCTGAGAGATAGAGAGAGAGAGAGAATAAGTGATGCCTTCTTTAAAAAAAAAAAACTAACAGAGACAAGCTATCATAACTTTAGCAAAAGTGGAACAAGCCTAACAAAAGGATGGTTTGAAAATACTTCATTAAACACTATATACCAACCAGCTTTCCAAAAGGAACAGCACAGCATGATTTTGGCACTTTCAACACATAAAAGATTATTTTTTAAATGATGTCACTGGTATTTGTGATCAGGTGCAACGCGCACATCATAGAGCATTTTCTCATTTGCTTGCTGCCAAGTACATTTCAAGTGTGTACTCATGAGAAATGTCTGTTGCTGTTTTTCTTTAGCAAAAATGTTTAATAAGCATGATAAAAGACATAGTGACTTACTGCTATTTTTCTAGATACAGTTTGTCAACATCTATAGAAAAAAGTGACAATCAAGCTAGTTGACCTTTCAACTCAGGACTTCTTAAGCATTCAGTTATGACTATACATGTAGAAAATCTAGAAGATATCACATTTTGATAAGAGAATTGTAAGTAGTGACAGTCTTATGTGAAAAAAAAATGACTTGATTGTACTATCTGTGCTACAGTTAGCTGAGAATGAAGCAAATTCATGGTGGTCAAGAATGATAGAGAAGCTTAAAATTTATCCTAAGACCATAGAATACAAATTGAAGGCTTCTGTCTATATAATAGGACCAGTCCTGGGCCTGGTCAGTAAGCAGGAGGAGCAAGTATTTTTAGGGACTTTGATGTGAAACAATATCCCTGAATATTGGGGGAGAAATTTGTATGAAAAGTAAGAGTAGAGATTTACTCGTCCAGAGGGATGGAAAATTTTAGCCGACAGGAAAAGTCATTAAGTTTCAATGATAGCTTTGGTTACTCTTTTTTGAAAATACCGTGGGGAATTTTATGTAAAATGAATCTTACTCGGGTGTTTATAAACTGTGGAACACTCAGACAACCCACTGAAGATTTTTAAGAACTTTAAAAATAACAGAAGGCATGAGACTAGGATATTGTACAGGTGAGGAGTTTGAAAGCCAGAGAGGCTACTACTATCTCTAAGGTCGGTCATTGGAAGGTAAAGCTTCCCAACAATCCAGATCATGTGGTTTTCTGATCAGAAGTGATCTCCCAAGCTGCACCTCTTCCAATTTCTCAATGTTAAAGTTACATGGCATTTTCATGTCATGGCAAGATATTAGAAGGAACTTTCATGGCAGAAAAAATTTTAAAGTAGTTTTAAGGTATATAAAGGGGGGCAAATTCCTATGGCACTTAGTGCTACTGAGGAGAAAAAGGAAGTTCTTGTCTTATTGACTTCTCCCCCTGAGATGAGCCACGTTCTCAACTCTAACTTCACATTAGCATCATTTAGGGTGAGTGATGTCCACACCACACTCCAATGGACTAAATATGCTGATAGGGTTCAGGCAAGGACAGTTACTTTTTTCAATATACCCCATGCTATTGGGGGGTATTATTATCCCAGAGGTGATAATAACATATATCTTACAGGTCAAGTGTCTATATTATTGGTAACTGGAACATTTTTGAGCATAATAATTACTCTGGATCAATAGCAATTGTCCCAGGCAAACTGGGACATATGCTTGCCCTACTTAAAGGGCTGTTTTCAAGAATAAATGAGTACTTTGTATGTGTTCAAAGAAAAGCAGCTAAAATTAATAGCTAACAAACTCACCAAATATTAGATTTATAACATATTTAATGGGCTATAGACTAAAATAATTCTATGAAAGAATAAACTAGGGATTACTATATTAAATCCAGGTAAGTTGATTCTTTACTGAAGGAGTTCTTGGAGTTTTTAATAAGCTAATCTGCCTTAAGAATATCTAAGCACTGTTTATGATATGCAGTGTTTCATAGATTTTAGTTTTTCAAGGAGATAATATCTGATGACTCCAGTCTTCCAATGAACTCAATATGAGGAGTAATGAAAAGCATGGCTCAGGGATAGAGTGGAACAGGTGATGAATGTGATTCCAGGATGTTATTGAGAAATTTTAGTTAGGTTTCTGGGTGACAACTCAGTGGTGTGGGAAATTTCAAACCACCATTTAGAAACAGTGTCACCCCGATTTAGCTGCTTCCTAAATGTCAAGGTTGTTCTGATCTCCTGGAGAGACAAAGAAGCTTTTCCTGTTTTTCCATGAAAATCTAATATTTACTTTGTTTTTGTGGTTCTATGGGCTTCAGTTTCTGCTAAGAATTTTAAAAAGTAGTTTCTTGGTGTCCTCTCCTTCTCCTCCAGTAAAGAGTCGGGATGAGAGTCAAGGACAGTAGGTCAGAAAACAAAACAAAAAACAGATTCTGAATTGCCATTGATGCAGAAGCCAGGGACATGTATGGAGAAGGCAAACTAAAGTATGTGACATATGAAGGCAAGAAGATGAGCTCAGAAATGGAAGCAATAACTAACCTTGTCAGAAACTTGTCCTGGGCCCTAGGGTGGAGGCTATTGCTGGCAGCTGACTTCCCATAGACTCTGATGGGAGTCGTGTGGGCAAGCCAGGAACCAGAACACTTGGGAACTTTCACCAACTCCTAGACATTGGCTTACAAATGATCCATAAAAATTTTAAAGCTGCTTAAAGAATACCACTTTAAATTTCTTCTCTTACCTAATATTTTCTTGGTGGGATAGTGGATTACCTTCTATGCCCCCAAACTACTAATAATAATGATAGCTAACACATAAAGCAATATCCATGTGTCAGTCACTTTTTTTCTATGCGTTTACATATGTTAACTCATTAAATCTTGGCAATAGCCTTATTAGCTAGATCCTCAGATGAGAAAAATGAGGCTGAGAGGAGCTAAGTAAATCTGCCCGAGGTCACACAGCTCTTAAATAGGAGAGCTAGACAAATCTGGCTCCCAAGTCCGTTATGACCCACTCTACCATGGGCAAATGCATCACTGACATTAACTGAGGAAGGTAACTTCTCTGATCCAGTTATGATAGTTCTGGTCTTTATGATCATATAGAACATAATTCTTTTTTATTACATTTATTGGGTCAACATTGGTTAATAAGATCATATAGGTTTCAAATGTACCTTTCTATGATACTTGATCTGTATAGTGCATGGTGTGCCCACCACAAATCATCTTCTGTCACCGTATATTATTCCAACTGTCATCCCTTGAAGTCTCTGAAGACCAGCAATTACTATATTTTCTTAAACTTTCTCTATGACTCCAGTTCCTTTAGTGGTTTCTCTTATGACATGCATGCGAATTTCTGCTTACTTTAATGCCTAAAAACTCATCTTTGAATGTGCACTGGTTTGTGTATTTTATTATTTAATCAGTTGATGTATTGAGGGGGATTGAGAGCCAAAAGTCAGCCAAGAAGTACTTTGCAAGTAATTTTGAGGGCACCAGGTGCAGGACCTGGAGACCCAACACTATTAAATGTCACCTTTTAAGATCTTTGTGGGTCCCAAATGTCACCCAGCCTGTTTTCATTACTCAACTTTGATATCTATTGCAAATGTAATGAGAATGGCTTTATATCTTCTTCCAATCCTCTGACAAAGGATTTGGCCAAAGCCAAAGATAGAACCAGGCAGAACACCTCTCACATTTTATCCATCCAAGTCAGCAATCTTTGAGCACAGTTGTTTAGTAAGGATTCTATTTAATTGCAGTCAGTTCATATTTCTCCATTTTTGTACAAATCACCTTTGTGTAGTTATGCAAATTACCCTGATGATGGTCAGAACTCATGTGCCAACAGCATTTCTCTGTTGGGCTAGTTTAAGATCCCTTAATGGTATGGGGTTAGGCTGATTTGACTCTGAACATGGACAGTATGTTTGCTTATTTACAATCTTATG